CAAGATTCCAGTTTTTCCACAAATATGGTCAGATAGTATCACTGAATAATTTGAGAATATTTCATACTTCTGACTCACATTTGAAGGATCTTTTCTTACAGCTATGAACAATTAAGTTCATGTAACTTAAGAATGATATAGGGTTGGGATGTAGCTCAGTGGCAAAACGCTTGCCTAGCAAGTGCAATATCTTGGGCTCAACCCCCAGTACCAAGAAAAGACAAAAAAAAAAAAGATACAGAGTTCTCAAAACAAACAAGAGTGAGAAAATACAATGTTAATTCTATAATGGTAACAAAAAAAGGTAACTCATTCCAATAAAAAAAATATGACACACAGGTAGCACTGTGTGAAAAGTGAGCCCTACCAGCCACTTTTGTATTCTGTTCAGCATCAGAGCTGCTCTGTGAAAACTGACAAGGAAAAGGCTAAAGAAGTTAAAGAAGATTAGCCGGGCACTAGTGGCTCATGCCTGTAATCCTAGCTACTCAGGAGGCTGAGATCTGAGGATCGCGGTTCAAAGCCAGCCAGGGCAAGAAGTCTGTGAAACTCTTTATCTCCAATAAACTAGAAAACCGGAAGTGGCACTGTAGTTCAAGTGGTAGAGTGCTCCCCTTGAGCTGAAGAGCTGAGGGAAAGCGCTCAGGCCCAGAGTTCAAACCGTACTACCTACAAAAAAAAAAAAAGGTAAAGAAGATAAAGAGCAGCAAAGCAAGAATCATAATAAAACCTTAGAGCTTATAGTCTAGGAAAGGTTAACATGTTTAAAGCACATGAAAGAGTTACTATATAGAAAAATGATCTTTTTTTAAGCTTTCTTTCATTCACTAAGGAAAAGATAAAATGTATTCAGTTTATTAGAAGTTAGCACAGATCACCCCTGTAATCCTAGCTTCTCAGGAGGCTGAGATCTGAGGATCTCCGTTCAAAGCCAGCCCGGGCAGGAGAGACTGTGAGACTCCTATCTCCAATAAACCACCAGAAAACCGGAAGTGGCACTGTGGCTCAAGTGGTAGAGTGCTCACCTTGAGCTGAGGAGCTGAGGGACAGCACCCAGGCCCAGAGTTCAAGCCCCACAGCCGACCAAAAAAAAAAAAGAAGTTAGCAGAGAAAGAGTTGTAACTCAGAGCCTTGTTATCCACCATAACAATGGCATTAAAATCTTTAACTTTTAAATTTGAAACAACTGTAGTCTTATAGAACCATTATGAATAGTATAATCACCTAGTTTCTATCTTACCATACCTTCATTATCTATAAATGTTTTGTCTGAATTTTTTGAGAGTAATTTGTAAGTGTGATTCCTGTTTATGCCTAAATATTTCTAGGCTTTTTTCTTTTTCTTTCTGGGACTGGGGCTTAAACTCAGGGCCTGGGATCTTCCCTTAGTTTTTTTCTTTTGCTCCTTAGATCTCAGCCTCCTGAGTAGTTAGGTTTACAGACTTGGGTAATAATCACAGTGTAACCCTAATTTGTAATCCAGTGTAGTCCTAATTTGTAATCCACCAGTGCCCAGCTCTTGGCTACTTTCTTAAAATAAGAATATCCTGTTGCACCATGGTGATGTTACAAAAAACTGAGAAAGACGCCGGGCGCCACGTGGCTCTGAGGATTGAGGTTCAAAGCCAGCCCGGGGAGGAAAGTCCATTGAGACTCACTCCAATAAACCCCAAGAAAACCGGAAGTAGTGCCCGGAAGTGGCGCTGTGGCTCAAGTAGTAGAGTGCTAGCCTTGAGCTGAAGAGCTGAGGGACAGCGCCCAGGCCCAGAGTTCAAGCCCATGACCGACCCCCCCCCCCGCAAAAAAATTGAGAAAGTATCACTGATAAACTATTATCACTGATAATGTATGCATATTATTCGAATTTTTCCTATTGTCTCATTAACATTTGTTACAAAAACAAAACAGGGCTGGGAAGGTGGCTCAGTGGTTAAAGTGCTTGCCTTGCATGCCTGAAGCCCTGGGTTCGATTCCTCAGCACCACATAAGCAAAAACAAAAAAGCCGGAAGTGGCACTGTGGCTCAAGTGGTAGAGCGCTAGCCTTGAGCTGAAAAGCTGAGGGACAGCGCCCAGGCCCAGAGTTCAGGCCCCACGACCGGACCCAAAAAAAAAAAAAAAAACAAAACCCAGGTTCAGGATAATTTTTCTTAAATTCTTTTAATCCAAAAGAGTTCTTCAGGCTTTATATTGTAAGACTTTAATATGTTCAGAGTACAAGTTAGTTCTGTTTTGTACCTTGTTTCTCAATTTGAGTCCCTGGTGTTGTTGGTTTGGGGTTTTTTAGGCAGGATCTTGAGTACAGACTTGAGGAAAAATGTAGTTCTTCCATCTCCCGCCAACCACCAAAATAGATGTTGGTGAAAGGTATAAAACATTTTTTGTAGCCACAACAGATTCACTTGCATTGCATAGATTTCCTTCTTTGCCATTCTTTCTTTTTACAAGTTTAATGTAATAAAACAAAATTTGTGAACAATCATCACCTACTTATTACAAACATTTGAAATTTAAATTAACCATGGACTCCCATTTTGAGAATCTCATTCTTACAGTGTTGAACTATGCCCTGGGATCAGAAGACAAAGAGCTGCAAAAATGGTGGGTGTATTTCAATCATTCAACAAATATTTGTTGAGTCCAACTTAGATGCCAGGCTCTGTTCCAATCCAAGAAAATATATTCTAAAACAATTCCAACAATATTCTTGTAAACCCAGTTGCACAAACTAACTAAATAAAACCAGAAGTGATCCAATTTCCTTAAACAGGGGAAAAGAAAGTGCAAAGAAGGCCAGGTGTGAGACTCAAGATTCCAATTTGGATAACACGCTGTGGAATCCTCTAGTAAACACGTGGATTCAATAAATCTGTAGTTTGTTCAAAAGCGCTACAAATGGATCCAAACACCAAAGCGGGGCTGTTCTTCCTGAGCTGTTGTGATCACTTTTTCGGCAACAATACCCAGCCTGGGCTTGCCACGGGTGATCGGGTGTACCCGCCAGAGTCACGCACCTGGTCCCGCACCCCCTTGGAGGTGACACCTCTCTCGCCGGGTAGAGAGATAGAGAGCAGCGCACCTGGGAACCGTGCGCATCTACAAAGCCCCGCGGGGACGTGGCTCGGGGGAACCGGCTCCGCCAAGCAGCCTCGCCCACTGCAATGCAATCTGGGTGGTTTTTCCAGGTCCCTCACGGCCTGGTTCCGCGCCCAGTTCCTGTCCCCGCGACGCCAAGGGCTGGCTAGGTTGGCTCTGTGATACCAAGGCCAGGGCGGGGCCCGGCTGCCGCCGAGAGCCAGCCTAGGGCGATTTGTGACTGCGCATCCTGAAGTCCCAGCGAGGGAAACCAACGCGCGACCCAGCCACCAAGCCGCCGACCAGAGTGATACCCAGAGCCGGCGCGGGCCCGAGCCGCGTGGCGAGCGTGGGAGCTGGGCCCGGGCCGGGGTGCGCCCCGGGGACGGGGGTGGGGAGTGCGAGCTGCCACCTGCACCGCGGGTCGCTCCGCCTCCTGGCGAGCCTGGTCCGACCAGGAAACCGGTGGCGGCGGCGGCCTCCGGCCCAGCCCCCACGGGGAAAGCGGGGGTCTCCCGCTTCCCCTGACCAGCATCCCTGACCCGTTCCCCATTTGTACGGGGGAGTGGGCTCCTGCCGTGACGTGTGTGTGTGGCCGATTTCACATCCCGAATGCCAAGGCCCCGAACACCCGAGTCCAATCTGTAACGCTTCCGACGCACTCCTTCCCCAAGAACAGACCAAGTTAGAAATACAAAGCTGGAGGACAACTACCTTCCACACCGTCAACGGGACCTAGCTCCCGGCGGTCCCCGTAGGTGGCTTTGGCGAGAAAGGGCCTGGCCGACGCTCCGGCCACGGCGCCCACCAAGCTGGAGCTAGAGAAGCAAGTTCACCAGGGACCCCGGGAAGTCACACTCCCCCAGAGGAGGCAGGCATGGAGGGCCTGCGGATTCCAACGCCCGGTGAAGGAACAAAGTTGGGTCTGGCCCGATTTAGGCAAACTTTTATTAGGTAGACGAAGGCAGGAGCAATTTCATTTCGGGCCCCAGACAAATCAAAGTGGGAGCGCCCCAGCCCTGAAGGAGGGCTTTGCTGCCTCCAACTAGCAGCCGCGAGAAACCAAACAGGTAGCAATTAAAGGACTTGAGAGAGTAGGGAGTCTGGAGACTGGATTTCCTCTCGGGGGTCCCCAGCGGTGGGGCGCGCGGTGAGTAACAGCGTCCTGGGGCGTGACCAGGTGTCCGGGCGTCCAGCCCCGGGCGTCCCGGGAGAGGTTCCTCCCCACCCCCTCTCCGCCGCGGGACGCGGCGCGTGCTGGGGGGGGGGGGGCGTGCGCCCGGCTCCGACCCGGGGAAGGGCCGGGCCGGCTGGACTTCCCCCGGCTGTTTGCACTCCAAGGTGTGTTAGGCAGAGGAGCGGCTTTTCCGGGGTTCGGCAACTGCCCCAGCCACCTCCCGGCTGCCGTTGGCCGGTCCCTCCCACCGCGGCTCGCCCTCTTGGGCGCCGCACCCTGCGCTGCTCGGTGGCCCGGGCCTCACCTCTGGCCTCCTTTCGCTTCCCAGCGCCTGGCCTTTGGCGCTCGACCCTCCAGAACTGTGGGCGTCGCTCCCCACAGCCAACCTTCCCTCCACCCCCGTCCCCTAACACACAACCCCGGTAACCTCCAGCGGGGACCCCCCCCTCACCCTCTCCCAGTCTGACTCGTTCGACCCTCCGAGTGGCAGCCACCTCTTCCCCGCCCCTCTGGCCTCCCCTTCCTGCTCTCTCTCCCGGGCCTTCTCCATTCATCCAGCCATTGTCTCCCGCCTCCTCCTCCCCTTCCTCGGGCGGCCTTCACCCCCTCCCCCCCCCCCCCCCCCCCCCCCCGGGGCCCCCCCCCCCCCCCCCCCCCCCCCCCCGCCACGTCGTGGTTTGAAGGAGCCAATGGGCCGGCGCCGCCAGGTGTCTCTTACCTGCACCACGTGGGGGAGGGGAAGGGGCGGGCAGGTAGAGCCACATCCCCAAACAGAAAAGCTTTCAGCCATTGCGCGCCTCCCGGGGGTGCAGCCCGGCTCCTGGCTCAGCAGCGACGCACGGGCAATTGAATACAAAAAGGCCTGGCCTCCTGCGCCCTCCTTCCCACCCCCCTTCCTGCCCTGGGCGTGGAGCCCCGGCCGGGCCAGGTGTAGGCTGGGTGGTTGGTTACCGCCTTTCGCACCGGCGGCAGCGAGGAGGGGGGGTGGGCGCTCTTTCTTTTTCTCTTAGAAGAGGACTTTTTTTTTTTTTAAAGCACAGGTTTTCTCGTTCTCACTTCCAACCCTCCTCACCTCCTCCCGACCCCCCTTCTCCCCCTCCCCACCTATCGTCATGACGGCGTCTCCGGATTACCTGGTGGTGCTTTTCGGGATCACTGCTGGGGCCACCGGAGCCAAGTTGGGTTCGGATGAGAAGGAGCTGATTCTGCTGTTATGGAAAGTCGTGGATCTGGCTAACAAGAAGGTAACCTCAGCACGTTTTTGTTCAGCGACTGGGAACGGGGCAAGACGTTGTTGAAGAAGTCGGAGAGGGGATAGGTTTAAAGGGGAGGGGGGGGGAGGACTGGTTTGCCCGCTTGTGCGGCCGGACCCGAGGCCTACCGAGATCCTGAGTAAAACCAAACTTGTTCTCCACCCGCCTTGGAGCCATTTCAGTCTCCCGAAATCTGGCCCAGGTGTCGAGGCGCGGCCGAGCTGGATTCGCGGCGGGTCCGGGGACGCGCGGGCGCGACGGGGGTGGGCTCCCGAGACTCTGGGGGAGGGGGCCCGGGGCCACCGGAGCCGCGGGCGGCTAACGAGCTGGGATTCTGCGGCTGGACCCCTCCTGGGGCGCAGGCGGGCGGGAGAGGGCGGCGGGGAAGGCATTTCCGAATCGACGGTGGGGAAAACTGACCCTTCTCTCCCTGCTGGAGGTGGGACAGTTGCACGAAGTACTAGTTAGACCGGATCAGTTGGAACTGACGGAGGATTGTAAAGAAGAAACTAAAATAGACGCCGAAAGCCTGTCCTCCGCGCCGCAGCTGGACCAAGCCCTCCGACAGGTGACAGCCCTGAGCCGCGCCACCTTCCCCCGGGTTCCGAGAGGGCCCGACCCCACCGCCCGCTCCACGCCCTCTCAGGGCGGCCCCCCGCCCCGACCCAGGGGTGGGAAGACTCCCCGCGGCGTTGGTGGGCGCCACCCTCGACGTCCTTGGGGAAGGGTGTCTCCACCCCCAAATCCCAAGATTTGGGATCCCAATTTTGTTCGTTGTGGAGTTGCGTCCTGAGTGGTTCCTGGGGAAGGGGGGGTAGAAGGGCCGCGTGTCACCGGTCGTGTGGGTGCAGCGCGGAGTCCCCGTCCCCGCATCCCGACCCCGTGGCGCGCGGGTCGGCGGGGTCCGCAGCTCGGGCGCCGGGCGCACGCCGGGGGCGCACTCGCCCCGCGCTCGGTGCTCCCACCACGAAAGCCTGCCTGGTTTCCGTCTTCTGAACTTCTAAAAGAAAGGCTCGGTTCCGTCGTTCTTCCGTGGCCTCGATCCAATCCCAGGGCGGGTTTGCAGGTCGGAACTCGTAGGGCTGCCGGCCGGGTCACCGGGGAACTGCTGGAATCCCCTTATTGGGCTTGAAATGACCTCAAAAACGCTTCTCCCCGGGAAGGGGGGGGGGTGCTGACGAGTGCGGGAATCGCGGTAGGGCGGGGCGCTGCGTACCTGCGGCGCCGCACGCTCGCGGCCTCTGCCCCGCACATGAGTTTGGAATTCTGGAAGAAAATGATCATTTCTAGGGTCTATTCTAAGAAAAGTGACCGGCCGTTACGAAGGTCTTTACCCGCTTTTGTTTATTTTAAATTTATATCTTGAGCATGGCACGTCCAAACATAAAAAAAAAAAGTCACATCAGGAAATGATGATGTAATGTGAAAGCAACCTGCTGGTGACAAAGACGTCCCGGCCGGTCCTGACGGATGTACCCTAAAGATCAGGCGGTGGGCGCGGGCTGCGCTGGAAATGAGGGCAAAAGGCATTATGCGAGAAAGCGGCCTTCCCAAAGCAAGCTGGCCAGTGTATGGGAGAGGATTCTTGGTCATCTTTTGCCAGCCCTGGTATCCCACTTTAGCGTCTGCACCACGATGTTCCCAGGTTATTGCCAAGTGCGACATTGACGAATTTATAAATTCTGTATCTATTGCATCCTTCCCTGTGGACGTCTTTTTCTTACAGTTTAACCAGTCAGTAAGCAATGAACTGAATATTGGGGTAGGAACTTCCTTCTGTCTCTGTACTGATGGACAACTTCATGTCAGGCAAATCCTGCATCCCGAGGCTTCCAAGAAGGTGAGTGCTGGCTTCTGAAAAACAAAAACGAAAAACCCATACTTTTTGGAAATGACTGGAAGCTTAAAATAAAAGTTTCCAAGTTATTCTATTTATGCTGGCCTCTGGAAAAATGATTGGGCTTTTGGCGAGCGAGTCCAGGCTTTTTAAAAAGTGATTTATTCAAATTATTCTTATTATATTTTTACGAGTTTCTGCCTACGAGGGATAATCGTCTTATAGGTGCAGAATTTCAGTATGGGAAGACAAAGCGTGGATGTGATGTTTGGAAAATTTTAATGTACTGGGTTAAAGTTGTAGCTCACTTAATGTGAAAATTCCTGGGTTCTATCCCCAAGAATGGGTGGTCTCACACACACATAGCCACACAGACACACACACAAATACATCCAAGTGAAAGTACTTAATCGTATGGAATTGTACACTTGAAAATTGTTGATTGAGGGTCTGGGGAATGTGTTTAGTGGTACAGTAAATTAGTAATATGGGAAAATGTTCAATATTTAGTGTTTTATCACAATGAAAAATACATGACTATTTCCCACAGATGCTTGGGATTGCAGTACTTTTATAACTTTATAGATACCTTTTGGTGACATTACAGTCCCTTTTGTGTGTGTGTGTAGGTATGAACTTTACTTTTCAAAGTACTTGTTTCCCTTTCCCAAAGCTAATGAAGGGTCTGAACTTCTCCCCAAGTGTGGAAGGAAAATATTTTAATATGTAATTATATTTCCATTTGTGGAAATGCTTTATTCTAAAAAAGGAGGAGCAAAAGTACTCAAGTAAATCTTTTAATCTTTTAAATTAAATTATTTCTAGTAACTTCATTAAAAAGACTGCCTAAGGAAGTGGTGCTGTGGCTCAAGTGGTAAAGCGCTGGCGCTGAGCCGAAGAGCTCGGGAACAGCGCCCAGGCCCAGCATTCAAGCCCCATGAACAGGAAAAAATAAAATCCCCTTTCAAGACTGTCTAAATCACATCTAAATATTAATTACAGTGCACTTCACTTTGACGTTAAGTAAATGTTCAAAACCTAAGTCCATCAATGTGCTTGTACTTATCTTTCACCTTTGCTAACTTTCCTGATTTGGAAGAGACTATGGAGTGATAAAATGCAGTCTTATCCTAGGCAGAATGTGAATTCTCTCACTGGGAAGAACATGTAAACACTGTAGAACAGTCTAGAGTGAGCTACCCACTTTAGCCAATCATTGTTAACACGTCATTACTGCTAATGCAAATTAATTTGGACTGTGGCTTTTTTTTTTGGTAGTAAAACAAAAAGGCAGTTGCTGAGCTTGAAAAGAGAAAATATATTTAGGTAACTGAGGAAAATTTTGCAGTGAAAGCTGGAGTTTGACAATTGATAACGTAGACAAATAGAGCCAGGGCATAGTATCTTTCTCTTCAGTCCCTGAAGTAGGGAAACCTGGGGAGTTAGTTAAATGTATAATTGAAGTCTGAAAGAGAAGCCAGCTGTGCTGATTCATGCCTGTAATTCCAGATCTCTGGAGGGTGAGGTAGGATGATCCGAGTTTGAAATCAGCCAGGATTCTATAGTTCAGCTCAAAAACCAGAAAACAATGAAAAAAAAAACAAGTCTAAAGGAGAAACTTAAGTTTCTCTGCCTTTTACAAGGTCCTTAGTAATAATTTTATGGAAGGTTTAGACCAGTTACTGTATATTTGATCCGGAAATAGAGATGAGATATACGAGAGTTTATTTCTCAAAAGACATATGGAGAGGAATAAAATCTTAACCAAGCCTTGAGTTCAAGCCCAGGACTAGAGCACAAAAAAGTTGAGTTCTTCAGCCCAAGACAAGCATTCTACCACTTTATAGCCACAGTGCCACTTCTGGTTTTCCAGTGGCTGATTTGAGATAAGAGTCTCACTAACTTTCCTGTTCTGGCTGGCTTTGAACCATGATTCTCAGATCTCAGCCTCCTGAGTAGCTAGGTTTACAAGCCTGAGCCACTGGTGCCCATCCAAAAAAAGTTTTTCTAAAATAAACATTTCTGGATATATTCTTCCAGATTTCTTTAGAAAACTTGCCTGCCCTTCCCTCCTTCCCTCCCTCCCTCCCTCCTTCCCTCCCTCCCTCCCTCCTTCCCTCCCTCCCTCCCTCCTTCCTTCCCTCCCTCCCTCCCTCCTTCCCTCCCTCCCTCCCTTCCTTCCTTCCTTCCTTCCTTCCTTCCTTCCTTCCTTCCCCTCCCTCCCTCCCTTCCTCCCTTCCTTCCTTCCTTCCTTCCTTCCTTCCTTCCTTCCTTCCTTTTTGGCAGTACTGGGGTTTGAATTTAGAACGAGACGTGCTTGCTGGACAGGGGTTGTACCATTTGGGTCACATCTCCAGATCTCTTTGTACTAGTTATTTTTGCTCCTGCTAGCCTTGACTCTGATCCTTCCTTTTGTTCATGCTTCTCATGGTAGGTAGGATGACAAGCACAAGTCACCATACGTAGGAAAGCATTTTTACAGACCTCTATAGATTATGATTTAATGTACCTTAAACATTTTTATAAGTAGTAAATAAGATGCTCACTATTTTAAATAGATGCAGCTATGTAAATGGATTTCTTACCACTGTAAGTAGGAGTTACTACTACAAACATCGTGTGTGTGTGTGTGTGTGTGTGTGTGTGTGTGTGTGTGATTGTGTGCATCAATATGTTTGGGTGTTTAGGGTGCTTAAGGTCTCTCTCACTTGATTCCTTCTTACTGTGGAGCTGATACTCTTAACACTTAGCTACATCACTTTCAGCTTTTTGCTGGCTAGAAATAAGAGTCTCATGGACTTTTCTGTTTGGATTCGGTTTGAACCATGAGCCTTAGATTTCAGCCTTCTGATAACTAGGAATACAAACGAGAACAACCATCACTGAGCTGCCTTTCTAAAAATTTATTTCTTTTTTAATTTTTGCCAGTCCTAGGGCTTGAACTCAGGGCCTGGACATTGTCCCTAAGTTTCTTTTTTTTTTTTTGTCGGTTGTGGGGGCTTGAACTCTGGGCCTGGGCGCTGTCCCTCAGCTCTTCAGCTCAAGGCAAGTGCTCTACCACTTGAGCTACAGCGCCACTTCCGGTTTTCTGGTGGTTTATTGGAGATAGGAGTCTCTCAGGTCTCTCCTGCCCGGGCTGGCTTTGAACCGAGATCCTCAGATCTCAGCCTCCTGAGTAGCTAGGATTATAGGCGTGAGCCACCAGGGCCCGGCTGTCCCTAAGTTTCTTTTGCTCAAGGCTAGCATTCTACCACTTGAACCATATCCCCACTTCTGGCTTTTTCTGAGTAGTTTATTGGCAATAAAAATCTCATAGACTTTCTTGCCCAGGCTAGCTTCAAACTGCAATCCTTGAATCTCAGCCTCCACAGTAGATAGGATTACAGGCTTGAGCAACTAGCACCCAACTATAGCCTCTAGCTTTAAATATAGCACAAAAGGCCAACATCTCAGAATCCAAAGAAGGTACTGGATAGATGAGATATTGCAGAGATATTTCATAAGTATTAAAGCCTTTATTTCCTTTATATTTGAACCAACAAGTGAGTAGAAATATATACAAAATATTTTGTAGTTATTAAAGAAATCTAAATTTTGTTTTTTAGAATTAGCTAGGTATAGTAGTACATGCTTATGATCTTAGAACTCAGAAGGCTGGGGCAGGAGGCCAGACTAGGCTACTTAAGAAGATCCTATCTTTAAACAAAATATAAAATAATTATATAATAAAGCAAAACAACTTGCAATAAATTATTTATTAAAATAAATAATCTATATGTAACAATTATTTTTAAACAGTCTTTATTTTTTGTTTGTTGCTGAGGCTCATGACCTGTGATCCATATTTTAAAGTCTCATTTTGAGTTGCAAGGCATAATCAAAATAGTGTGCAGGAAAACGAATGTGGTGTGTAGTTTGTGACCAAAATAATCTTTCAGTTAAGTGTTTACCATTTTAAACTAACAATACTAAAGTATATATTACTAGGACACAGTAGTTAGAACTCTACTAAATATTATAAGTTAACTTATTGTCTAAACTTATGCATCTGTGAGAAAACTGACAGCTGAAAACACAGATGTTCCAAAATAATTATAGGCTGAAAGTGTAAGAACCCAAATGTGTTATACCTTCAGAAATGTTTTGAACGGGATGAATAATAGAGCACTAATGTTCCAGTCTATTTTGTTAAAACAAGATTTTTTTTTTTTTGGTAAGGCTTGTATTCAGGAACTAATATAATAATTAGACCCGATATTTAAGAAAAAGCTACTTCTACACAAAGTATATATGGAACTTGGGGCTTGGGTGAATTGGACTCTGGGCTTTTGTTGTTGTTCAGGGCTTGCGCTCTACCTCTTGGGCCACAGTTCTACTTCTGGCTTTTAGGTGGTTAATTGGAGATAAGAGTCTTAACAATTTTACTGCAAGAACTGGCTTTGGACCATGATCCTCAAATTTCAGCCTCCTGAGTAGCTAGGATTACAAGTGTGAGCCATTTATGGTTGGCTACAGTCTTTTTTTGTTTTCTTCTTTTTTTCTTGGCATGTATTAGTTGTGCAAGGTAGAGTTCATTGTGACATTTCTATACATACATATAATGCACTGGATGAGTCATATATTTCTAAATGTTGTGGGCTGGGTCATAGCTCAGGTGGCAGTATGATAGACTTATATTTAATTGTTAGTACTTGAGTTCCAATTCACCTAGTTTACAATCTCTACCTTGTACTCCTCAGAATGTATTACTACCTGAATGCTTCTATTCCTTCTTTGATCTTCGAAAAGAATTCAAGAAATGTTGCCCTGGCTCACCTGATATTGAGAAACTGGACATTGCAGCAATGACAGAGTGTATCCTTTAAAAGATTACCCAAGAATCGGCTGAAATATAGATCCAGCAAAAAACAGTATTTAAGGAACTTTTAAATGCTTTCAACTTTGTCAGTGCATGGATGAAATTGCCCTGTCTTTTGAAGTGGTTATGACTAAGTGAACGTGAACTTTGGATGATCTTAAAGGTAGATTTTTGTAAGGTGATTACATCTAAGATAAGATTCAATGTCAGACGGTGGAATTTTTTTGGTTTTTGAATTTTTTTGATGGTAATGGTGGTGAATTGCAGAAGAATGTGAAGACTATTTTTGATGCACACCTCTACACTATTTGCTCTTCATTCCTTTCATCTTGAGTTCATTTTGGCTTCTTAAGAATTAGTAAAATTATTTTTTTTAAAGTAACGATTACTGCTTTTAGCCTCTTGAGTTTCTGTAATATATTCACAATTATAGTCACTCTAGCATGATATATTTGGGGATGATAAAATGAGGTCTAGATTGTCTTCCAAATTCATTAATTACTAAGATAGGATATTTGATGCATAATGTATTAGAAAAGTAAATTTTAAAATCTTAAATCTTAATGGTCATGAATGATCTTCAAAATGCTAATAAGCAGTTACATGCTAATCTATCAGAACGCAAGCTTGAATACAATGTAGATGACTCCTTGACATCTATTTTGAGAATATCACCAAGTCCATCTAGGTTACTTTCAGAACTTGTTGTAGATGCCACACCTGCCCAAAAGATTTTGTCATAGCCCAGGGTGGCCTCAAACTAATGTTCCTGCCTTGCCACACCAGAAAGGCTGAGATTATAGTCGAGCACTACCATGCCTGGCTTGTAAATGGTTAGTGTTAAACTTCCTCATTATTTTTAAAAGCCATAACCTTGGTTTAGTTCTATGTGATTAGAAACATCTGTGTGGTTTTTGTTTGTTTGTTTGTTTTTTGTCTGTCTGGGGCTTGAACTCTGGGCCTGGGCACTGTGCCTCAGCTCTTCAGCTCAAGGCAAAAACTCTACCACTTGAGCCACAGCGCCACTTCCGGTTTTCTGGTGGTTTATTGGAGATAAGAGTCTCGCAGGCTTTCCTGTCCGGGCTAGCTTTGAACCGTGATCCTCAGATCTCAGCCTCCTGAGTAGCTAGGATTACAGGCGTGAGCCTCCTGCCTCCAGCTGGAAACATCTGTTCTTATGATCTCACTTAAAATTGTTACCCACTAAAGACCTTGTTTCCATATATAGACCTTATCTCCCTATATAGTCACATTGGAGATAAGGCATTAAACACATTTTCAGGGACAGTTTCATTCTTAGCATATGTTGAAATATTTAATATACTATTACAAAGCAAAATTCAGGGCTGGGTATCACTTAGTGGGAGAGCATATGCTTAGCATTCTTGAAACCCTAGTTTCCATCCCCAGCAAATGTACATAAATGGTCAGTATAGATACTAGAAGAAAAGTCTTAATTTAATTGCCTTTTGTTTTTATCTTTTGTTCTTTTATAGTTCCCCCCCTCCGCCCCCAGAGCTGAGGACAGAACCCACGGCCTTGCACTTGCCAGGCAAGTGCTCCTCCTCTAAGCTAACCCCAACCCTTGCCCTCTTAATTTAGAAAGACATCTTCAGTGAAAAAGACAGTATATTGAAAGTTACCTTGCTGGGTGTTTTAGTGCATACCTATACTCCCAGTGCCTTGAAGAATAAGGCAGAATTGTTAATTTGAGACCAGCCTCTCAAGGAAAAAAAAAGGAAAAGAAAAAATGTTATATCCAACTATTCAGTTGTCTCGCTCTCTTCCTCTCTCTCCACTCCCTCCTTCCCTTCCTCCCTCTCACCTTCCCTTCTTCCCTCCCTCTCACCCTCTCTCCCACTCCTCCACTTTCCCTCTCCCCCTTTCTTCTCTTTTCTTTTCTCCTCTGTCCCTCTCTCTCTCTCCTGGTGTTTGAACACAGGGCCATAAATACTAGACAGGCAATCTACCTGTTTGGGCCATGCTATTAACCCCTCAGTTTCTCCTTAAAGTGAAGATTAATGATTATAAGTGAATATACAATAAAAATGTCCATTGCTACAATCTGATGGTTCTTTAGGCAATTTGGTTTTCTTGATTTGTTGTTGGTTGTGGGGCTTGAACTCAGGGCTTGGTTGCTGTCCCAGAACTCTTTTTGCTCAAGGCTAGTGCTCTACTACTGAGCCACATCGCTACTTCTGGTTTTCTGGTGGGTAAGTGGAGATAAGATACTCATGGACTTTCCTGCGAAACTGGGCTGGCTAGTCTCTGGCACTAGCACCTTACCTTGATATGTTACTTTGAAATGGTTACTGGAAGCTGGGAGTAGGTGGCCTCAAGCCTGTAATCCTATCTACTCAGTAAGCTTAGATCTTAGGATCATGGTTCAAAACCAGCCCAGCAGGAAAGTCCACAAGACTCTCATCTCCAATTGACCACCACAAAAAAATGGAGTTGTGGCTGCAAGAGGTAAAGGGCTAATTTTGAGCACAAAAGCTCAGATATAGTACCCAGGCCCTGAGTTCAAATCTAGGACTGGAAGACACACAAAAAAGAAAAAAGAAAAGAAATGAAAAGATTGGTTACTTGGGTTTCTTTTTTACTGTGTGCTATGTTTTCCAACACCTTGTAGCACTTTTTATTATCTGAACTTTTATTTATTTATTTTTGGGTCCAGTCATGGGGCCTGAACTCTGGGCCTGGGCACTGTCCCTCAGCTCTTCAGCTCAAGGCCAGCTTTCTACCACTTGAGCCACAGCACCACTTCCGGCTTTCTTCTTTTTTTTTATGTGGGGTGCTGAGGAATCGAACCCAGGGCCTCAGGCATGCAAGGCAAGCGCTCTACCACTGAGCCAACTTCCCAGCCCCTGAACTTTTATTAAATGAATATGTTGGTGTGCATGTTTTTTTGTTACTTCTTTTTTTGTTTATTTTGTGCTGGTATCAGGGACTTGAACTTGTGCTTGAACTCAGGGACTCGGGCTGTTGATTAGCTTTTTCTGTACATAGTTGGTGTTTTACTACTTAGGCCATACTTTCTGTTCCTGCTTTTGCTGATTAGTGGGAGATAAAAGTCTCAAAATTGTATGTGTGTGTGGCTTTGAACTGCAACTCAAATCTCACCATTTTGAATTGCTGGGATTATACCCAGCCTTGTCATTCTCTTAATCCTGGCTCTATCAGCAAACTCTAGCAGTTCATCTTCAAGTGCCATAGCAATGAAAACACGACATATTTGACTACAGCAAAACGATTAAGTTGTGAATAACCTAAGTTGAACTGTTTCATGGGCATTGCCCCTGAAATTTGAAGCAGGAATCTCATGGCATTTAACAACCTATTCATTAAAAATGGACACCATTTTGTATTTCTTTACTTTTTATTAGCTTACATGAATAATATAGAGGAGAATTTCATTGTTACATTTGGACAGATGTTTATTATTGTCAATTTACCCTATCAGTCTCTCTTTCTCCTGTGATTGTGTATTTCTTCTTTTTTCTATTTTTTTTGTCGGTCATGGGGCCTGAACTCTGGGCCTGGGCGCTGTCCCTCAGCTCTTCAGCTGAAGGCTAGCGCTCTACCACTTGAGCCACAGCGCCACTTCTGGCTTTTTTCTTTTTGCTTATGTGGTGCTGAGGAATGGAACCCAGGGCCTCAG